TGCTATCAGTAAAGCCTCAGGCTGCCCCAAATGCTCTTTTGATAATGGACATTTAAAACATGCTGCACACAGAGCAAAATACTTAACTTTATTATGCATCAGCTGTGACTTGATTACTTTTTCCTTTAAAAATGCATGTGATCCCTCCCAGCTAAGGACTTGAATTAACAAAAGGCTTTGCGCACGAGTTCCTTGCGGAATCAAAACTTTAAATACCCTCATACCCTACAAATGCCATTCTTGCAGCAGTGGAATCGGTGGAGCCTACGTGGGTGTGCAGTTAATCTCTAGAGGGTTCGTTTTCTCCAGCTGCAAAGCAATTGTCAGTGGGTTTCCCAGGATCCCAGCGCAGGGCAGTGATGGAGCTGGGAGTAGGACTTGGGGGGAACGTTGCTCCGGGGCTCTGCCTCGTGGTGTTTGCAGAAGAGCCCCTCGTCAGCTCGCTGCCAGCCCGGCATCCTGGGGTGCACTGAACCCCTCCACAGAATTATTTCTCATTTATCTCCATGCCAGAAGTAGGAAGAGGCGACATCCCCAACAAATCAAGAATGAGATTAACTTCAGGAAAAAGTCGTCCCTGCTCTGCCAGCGCTGACACCCTTGGATAAGCAGTGCTGGAGAAACGGTGGCCCTTGTCCTGGCTACACTTGTCTGGCCTCACAGACATCCCCTTGCCACGCTGCAGTTGCTTTGGTGAGGAGTTAAAGTTGCAGTTGAAGGTGGGAATGAGATCCACGACGGAGCAGATGCGCTCTTGGATGCAAAGCTCGTGTTTAATCCGTTTTTCTGCGTGCTGTGCGTGCTCCCGAGGAGTTGCTCCCGTTGAGAGCTCTGCTCTAGACAAGCCAGTCTTGGGGAAATTTGTACTCTTAAGTACCCTGTGGGAACTCCGAGGGGTGCCTGATTATCAGCACAACACACGCTCGAGACTGCTGTGAAGCGTGGCTTTGGGTTTACTTCATTTTCCAGACACCCTATAGGTTATTTGCGTGAGTTAATAAGGCAGGAGAGAGAGAAGAGCACATACAGATTTGGGGAACGCAGCCTATTTTGGTTGAAAATGTCTTTTTGGTTTTTCCACGAGACGGCAGCTGCTTGTCAGGTCTGTGCTGACAGAACTTTGAAGCACGCTTCAGTAATCTGTCTGCATTTCTTCGCTTCCCCTTGCTGTTTCCAACATGCTAAAAATCATCAAAACAGTGAAATACTGTCCCACGGCTGCAGGAAGAGGAATGAGACTGTGTTCCCAGTATCCAATCATCTGCTTATTCTGCCTGTTCTTAAGAATAGAATTTATTGAAGCAATTTATCCTGACTAAATGTGATATAAATCTGAGCACATGTATGTACATACCAGTCATATTCTGTAGTGAACGAGCAGCTAAATCTTTCTTTAAAGAATGAGTGAATCCTCCTGACACTTTGCAAGATCAAGTAAACTGAGGTTTTTTGCAGTGTGTTGGTCCTGATTTTTTTAATAGAGCTGCTTGTTATGCTATCAGAAGTAGCTGGCAGGCAGCCTGAAATGCCATTGGGTTTTTGTTTTGTTTTCCTGCTCTCCGTTTCAGTTACTGTTATCAAAACCCCAGGAGTGACAGCTGATCCATTTCTTTAATTTCTCAAATAGCTTTTATATGCATCGGAAGCATAAACACGAGGTAGCGAGACCCTGAAGTTCTTCATACTGGTGAAGGCAGCAGGCTGCTTAAGTGACAGCAGTAAGGACGGATCTCTGACCTGTGTTAATTAAAAAAGCATAGGGTGGGCTGCCCTGTGAAATACAGCAGTCTCCCTCTGTAATAATTGTGCCACATGTTTAACAATAAGACTTGTTTGTGGATGGAATAAACACATCCCCAACCTCATCCCCCGCAACCGAGTTTAAACGTAGGAGGGTGATTTAAACAAGTCTTCAAACGCTTCCAGCACCAGCCTGTACTTTGACAGCGAGGGGCATTACAACTGTCCTTTAAAGTTTGGTGACTTTCTCATTAGCACAGCTCTTAACTTGGAGCTGCTTAATCACTTGACAGTTGTTGAATTCGGTGCTGGACTGGCAGAGGACTTCTGGGTTTTGTGATTTGAGAACAAATGGTAAGAAAACTGAAGCCCCAGTCTGCCTTTGTAGACCAGTTCACCAGCACACCTGGCTGGGAGGGCTCTGGGAGGAGCTTCCTGGTGCTCTTCACACCATCAAAATGCCGTTCAAACACCGACCCATGAGCTTTACCCCTCGCTTTGTAAGTGGGTAACCAGTTTGTCAAAGCCTGCACAAATCGTCGACTAAACAGGGATTAAGAAATGTGGAACTAGTGCCTCTTGCTTCTGTCTTCAGCTTGGCAGACACTGAGGGCAGGTCCTGGGAGCCTTGGGGTGCTGAGAGCTGTGGGACAGATCCTTGTCTCATGGGTGAGGAGGACAGGCACAAAGTAAGACTGTTGGGAGGGCTAAAAATAAGGTCTGGCTTGCCCAAGACAGCATGTGTTGACTTTTTTTTTTTTGTTTTTTTATCCCAATACCAAAGCGTTACCAGCTGCCATACGGCAAAGGTGATGGTAAAATAACTCTAGTAGTCGTAAAGTTGATGTGTCCTTTGTGTCTGGTTTGATTTCTCTTATTATTTTCTTACAGAGTGAGTAGTAATTGGGCTGCCTCTGCTAGGGGTGGGTGATGAAGGCCTAAGCCCTGTCTCTTGACTCATTCAGACCTGTAGCTTTGTGCAGCTAACTGGAAGGTTTAGGTGGGAGGTGCAGGTAATAAGAAGTGTTGAATCAGTTTTGTGCTTCCCTTCCTTGCAGCGTCAGGGAGTTGATCTGAGCGGTGGTTTGGCGTTACGAGAAGGTTTGACCTCTTCATCCCTCCTTGCTAGAGACAGCTTTTGCGTGTTCAAACTTCCTGAGGGAGCCCTGGGCTTCTCTGTGCCTTCCGAGCCGGTTGTGGCCGTGGCTGCTCTGTCCGCGGGATGGCTACAGGATGTGTGGAAGTCAGGGCCTGAAGGAGATTCCTCTTGGAGGAGGATCGGGTGGTTGTGGATGGAGGCGACATCCCCGTTTGTTTAGGGAGCAGCGGGTCAGTATTTTGGTTTCTTTGTTCCCAGTTTGGAGGTTTGGTGGAAGCACAAGAAGGATGGTGGGGAGAGCCCGATCCTTTTAACGTGTCCTCATCTTGCGCCCGGGTCACCTCAAGCCTTGGCCAGGGTTTTAATCTTCCTGGTGAAGATCCAGAGCTCTGCTGTCTCCTGCCACAGCACCCTCCAGTTCCACAAGCCCCATGTCACTTCGGGGGGCTTTTCTAGGAGGGCTGCTGCGGTGGGTGGATGTTCCTGGCGATCTTTATTGCCTTTATTATTACGCTTCTCCTGTGCTAGGGAGCGTTTTGGCCGCTCGCCTCTTCCATTTGTGAGAGGACTAGTTATCCTTTGTGAGTTCATATTTGTGTAGGCCCTGGAGTTTTGCTTAATAAATCCAAACACAGTTTAATGTTGTGGACGTCTCTCCCTTTTTTGTGGGAGAAGAACTGGCAGCTGCTTGCTCGTAGCTTTTGGTTGTGACCATTGTGTGCTGTGGCTGAGCTGGCGCTCGGGGAGGGGAATTCCACTTCTTGTAGCCACCCATTTTAGCTGCACGCTGCCCTAGCACGTGGTCATAGAAAAATAATTTATTTTTTTTTTCATATTAAGCAACAATTGATTTCTGTGTCTTTTCAACAAAAGCAAAAGGGACTGTTTTCTGCAGCGCATGCATTCACCCTCTGCTGCTAAGTCGCATTCTCAGAGCACTTTCTCATATAGCTCCTAAAAATAACAAGTCTCCCCACCCTCTCGCTGCTGCTCGGCGCGTGTGTGCGTGCGTGTATTAATGGTTAGAAATGCAAAAAGCTAACTAAAAGAGCCTGTGTCTTCGTGAACGCGTTTTGGCCCCGTTCTGCTTTCGTTTCTGCTCTTGGCTGGAGCAGGCTGACATGCGTCGCTGAAGCCAAGTGCTGAACTTGGAGGAAGAGATGCTGGAAGCAACGTGAACAGCCAGAACATGTTCACACAGTAAACCCCCTGAAGAGATAGCATTTGCTTTATTATAGCTTTTTAAAATCCTGCTATAAAAATATCAGTGGGTGGAGGGAACCATTATTTCTTGAATTTGAGGTGGTGGGGGTTACTTTATTTACTCTTATTTTTTATTAATAAGAATAGCTTCACTTGTAGCATAATAGGACTGAGTGTTTTGTTATCCTTGGCTATAATCTGTGATAAACTACCCCTGCCATCAGCCTTGTAGTTTACCCACTAGGGAGCCAGATTATTGCCTTGTAAAACGGAGCACCACTCCTATAATCCCTTAATTAATTAAATGACAAATTTTAGTTCTCTCCCATTGAAAATATAACTTGTACATAGAGAGGACTTGGATTTATTTGATTTTTTTTTTTTTTTTTTTTTTTCCCGTAGATTGCCACTGTTTTTTACTTGTGTGTCTGTGCTTTCTACTGTAAATACTAAAGGAGGATGAGGCAGGCTGTGCCCTTCCTCACCATCCTCCATTCGGGGGGTGTTTCACGGGTCTTTGCTGCGCTGGGTGGCCCTTTGCAAGAGGTGAGCCTTGTCCCCTTGTCTTGGTGCTGACACTGAGATGCAGAAAATCCTTTGACGCTCTGGAGAATTGGTGGTGACCCTTGGTGGGAGCCCAGGAGTGGAAAACTCCTGCTCCCTTCCTGCCCCTTGGCCCACACTGTCTCGCTGTCACAGTTCCCAACGAGCCCTTCTGAGCTGCGACACGGCGCTTTCTCTTCATACGTGAAAAATCGACTGGGCCCTCTGAAGTCTTATTTAAACTTGGGTTGGATTAATTTCTCTTCTCTGATTGTGTCTAGGGCAGAAAAAGATCCTCCTACCCTGCGAGCGCAGCGTTGATTAATTACAGCCCTGCAAAGGGCAGCTTCTGCTCTTGATATTTTTAATTTTTTTAGCTTATTTAACAATTTCCTCTTCTCTCCTCTCTCCTCAGCTTAGCTCAGCTGCATGAAATATGGGAGACGACAGGCCGTTTGTGTGCAATGCCCCCGGCTGTGGACAGGTACGTTTACAGTATACTTTATTGTGAATGTGTCGTTGTGAATCAAAGTGGCTGTTTTATCACTGAGGCAAAGAGTTTAAAGCCGGTGTTTTACGTGATCACTGGAGGTAATCAGATCAGAGGATTTGCAGTGTGTAAATTCAGGTTATGAGCAAGTGCAGGCACTCCAAAGTAATGAAATTTGCCTTGCTTTGTGGCGTATTGTTATTCTGCTGGTGTTTTCCATGAGACCCACACAGCCCAGAGAAAACATGCTGATCTCCTGTTAATGTTTTCTGATAACATTGCTCATCTTCTTTCAAGGCTATTCAACCAAAGGACAGCTATTCCTTCTCTGTCGGGATGAGTTAGCTGCTATAGCATATTCTGTAAAGCAGCTGAGAATGTGACAGTTGATGGTTTGTGTTACGTGAACCCCAAACTGCAAAAAAAAAAAAAAAAAAAAAAAGAAAAAAAGACCCATTGTGAATTTTTCCTCCACGGACAGCACGATAGAGCTGGCTGTGGCCTTGCAAAAACTTTTACTCGCTTTTTTAGGGCGAATAATTCTGGCTTTGAATGACTCCCGTCTCCTTTCCAGTCACACGACCTTTTCCCGTAGGCGAGTGGAAGTTCCGTTGCATTTTGCTTGGTTTTGCACTAAAGTCGGTGCTTTCCCAAAGCCGAGCTTAAGGTCGGGCTGGTGCTCGGTGGCTCCCGGGGCACGTTAATGGGAGGAACAGGGGGATTGTGCAATTATTGCTGGGGCTGTTTTAGCGGGAGCTGTTAGAAACTGGGGATTCTGTGGGAGCAGAGCCCAGGGAGGGCTGGGTTTGTCTCTTCTGAAGCGTTTGAACCTCAGAAGGCGGAGATGCCTTTTGTAGGGATAAAGCAGAGGGGGGGGAATTGTGGCTTTTAATTAGATATTAAGTGATGTGCACACACTTTGTTTTCCTGGCTGCAACCGTTGGATGTCGGGTTGCCAAACTATTCTGGCTGTGACGTGTTTGGGAGCTGTAACTGGTCCCAGGGTACTGCCCCTGTCCCCGTCCCCCCCCGCCCAGTTCTTCAGTGTATTTGATATTTCAATGCCTCTTGTGGGTCTCTCAATTGGAATTAAAGTTAATTCTGCATCCCCAGGGCACATCCTCTGAGACTGCCTGTGAATTCTGTGACGCATTTATTTTTATAGCACAGAAATGGGTCAAAAAATCTCATCTGGTAACTCTTGGGGACTGGGTCTCTTTAAAAATACACAGGGCTTCTCAGCTTTTTGGTCATTCTAGTCTCATCTGAAGCATTTTCTATCCACTTGCAGGTGATCTTCCTCTTTTTTCTTTTTTTCTTTTTTTTTTTTTCTGTAGGCTGCTTTTTATCTTGAACTTCTTTGCCTGTGAAATTGTGCAAGTCATTTATAAAATGTATTAGCTGTATTTGAGCACTTAATGATGTGAAGACTTCAATCATACAACCTTAAAATCGGATTCAAACAAGCAATTAAGGCAAACAACAATGTATTTAAATTTAATCTCCCACAATCTCCCACAAATGACATATAAAGGTGGTTGCTTCCTCCTTTCGCTGTTCCAGACTGCTGCTTATGGGTAATTCTGACAATTCTTCATGTTAATATTGAAATGTTAGAATCCGGGTAATTCATACCGGTATGATTCATTGTGATCTAACCTGACCTCGTGCACAGTTTCCTAGAACGTCCTTCAATACCTGTTCAAACCAGAGCATGTATTAAATAGTGATGATCCAAGCTTGATTTAAAATATTTCCAGTGATGGAAAATTCACCACAGCCCTTGGTTAAGTTGTTCTAATAGTTAATTGCTCTCACTGGTAAGGAAAAATTATGCCTTATTTCCAGTCTAAACCTGTTCAGCTGCAGCTTCCAGGCTGTGGATCTTGCTGATTTTTGTTTGTTAGACAGAAGATCCTTCCTATCGAATTTCTGATGTCTGTAGGTGTTTGCTGACTGATCAAGTCATCCCTTAACAGTCCTTCGGAGCCCCGAGTCTCTCCCTCTAAGTCCTAGTGCCTTACGAGCAATTTTTTTGCCCTCTATTCTGTACATCAGCCTCACGTTGAAGGTTTTTAAGAGCCTTTTACAAATCCTGCTCGCTGCTAACACGCAGCTGGCGAAGCGCCGTGGTACCCGAGAGCTGCACAGACCGTCGTGGAAGGATCATCAGCTAAAATTACCCTTTGGTGAGCTGTGCTTTCTGGGGCAAGCAGAGTAAAAATTGCAATGAGCTGGACAGGGTAGAGCAATGTCTAGCTTTGAATATTAAAAATAAATCTGAATTTGAAGTTGGGAGCTGATGGTGACCAGCAGCTGTCTGCGAGGCTTGACCTCTGAAGCACATGCTGCATTGTTTCCTCAGCAGCTTGTGCTGCCTTTTGGCACTAAACCCTGACCCTTGACAAGCCCCCGTGGATCACCCCATCAGAAGTGGCTTCTTCACGTGGACTCAGGTTAAAGCGAAGCCTTCGTAAAGGTCCGAGGGGTCTGCACCTACCTCATTCCTAAAAGCTCCAGACCCTTTTCTTCAACCGTAGGGGACAAAAAGGGGCAGTCAGCTCCGTGTGAGCTCCTCCAGAAACATCCCGACCTGCCCCAGGTGCTGAGTGCCTGCGGCTCCCGTCAGAGGCTGGATGAGCCAGAATTTTGAGCTTTCTGGAAGGTAACCTGATTTTTTTTTTTTCACCCAGACACACAAATGCATGCCCAAGTGCTGCTGTGTCATTGCTTACAGCACGGGAAGCTTTTTTCCAGCTCAAAACCAAGCCAGACTCTGGCTGGCACTGGGAAGGGAGACTTCCTTGAAGGATTCAGCCTTTTTTTCCCTGATTCTCCAAGACCTTCGGGTGCATTTTGCTTAATTTACGTGGTGGCTGTTGAGCTTCTTTGCTTATCAGGGTCAGCGTTGTTGGGATAACGCCTGGCTCGCTGTGTCCTTCCACCACAATGGCTCCATTCCTTTCTCTCATTTCTCAACCTTTGATCCCGTGCCCGATCCATTGGCGTGTTTTTAATCCCCGCAGATTCCTGCTCTTTTGGGTGTTCCCCTATTTGAGGGGTGCGTTCTGGTTTGGGTGGGCTGCTCCCATGGGAACGGGCTGCTTTGGTCCTGAGTAAATTGGGATGAGCTTCTGGATTTCACTGTCAGCTGGGACGGTGGGCACGGGGACAAATCACCCCGTCCTCTTCCGCTTGCTAAAATTAGTGATCTGCCTCTTGCAAACGCTGTGCTGAGCCATGCAGCAGCATGGGAGGTCACGGGAGAAGGAGAAGGGAGAGCAGAGCCAAACTAATTTGAACAGGAGACTGGAGACAATTACTGTGAAGCCAGCGGTGATTTTCCGCCTTTAGTTTAAAGGAAAAATAAAAATTTGCTTCCCGGTGTCATTTCTTTGAACGATTAGCTGCTTCTTTCCCACTGTAGCTGGTACCAGCCCCATCTTTTATGCTGGATGCCCTTTTTTTCCTCCTCTTCCTTCACTGTTTTCTATGTAGAAAAAGGCTGAAAAATCCAACTTTTCAGGGAAGTGAGGAGGGGGAAGAGGGAACAGCCACTGAAAATAGATGGGCAGACGTTGCTGTACTCCCCCCAGCATCACAGCTAGTGGGCTTTCAGTGGGTATGTAAACATGTTTTGGTTGCTAGGTCTTTAATGGTTGTTATTTTTGGATTCTGTACGCGATCGCTTCCCAACAGTGAGTCTGCTGTGACACAGCTGACTTCTAAATGTGCCGCATATACTGCTTTTAAAAAAGATTCTTCCCAAGGTCATTTATCTGGTCTCTTCTCTAAGGGGACAGGTGACACATTTTTCCCTGACCCCCTTCCCCCAAGGCCCTCTCTGGGTGGGACGTGGCCCCCCCCTGCTGCTGTCTGAAGGCAAGGAGGGAGGTGGAGGCAAGCCCCTGCCTCTGAGATGTCTGTGGAAGATGTAGAGCGCTGCCTCAAGTAAGGCTTTCGTTGAATCTGATGAGTGAAACTAATCTGGGGGTGGTGTGTGCTGCTAATCGTTATTAAAATCTTCTAATCCCATTTAAAACATACTGAGTGATGAAAGGCAGCCTCAGCGCAACCAAGTGTTGGCTGTAAACTTCAGCCTTGCCGTTAAAGTTGAAAGGTATTAACTAAGTCTGCATAATGAGACAGCTCTGACTCATTAGCGCAAGGTAATTAAAAGTTGGGCTGTCCTAAGGCATCTAGAGCAAAGGTCTGGAAGGAAGGCAGGGGCTTCCGATGCGCTGGCGCTGCTTCGTTACCAAGAGCTCAGCGTCTGCCTCTAGATCCTCCCTTATAGAACCGTGTTCAACCCTTCTCGGGGTGCCTGGGGGCTGGCGAGGTGGCGGTGTGAAACGTAGGTTGGTCGATAGAAATTGCTAATTGCTAATTCGTGCTAGATGGGTGATAGACGTCCTGCTCCGACCGTCGTGCCTCCTCTGCTCCTCTCCTCAAGGCTTCAGGAGTGCTGGATGCTCGAGGCTTTATGAAGTGTCATAACGGAGGAACATCTTTATTAATAAAACTGTTTTGTCCACTCCTGTTGCCCAAACTAATGGAGGGACCATAATATTGAATATATTCTACCGGGACCAAGACTTTCCCTAGCCCCTGCCTCCCCACTCCACACCATTTCACTTTTTATAAGTGACACAAATCATCACTCAGGTCCTAATTCCAGCGCTACAGTTATACAGGCCATTTCCTCAAACAATCGTTTGCTTTTTAAACCCACCCTTAATTTAACAATTTATTCCCCTTAAACCCATGCCACTGAGGTGATGCTCGTGCAGTGTCCAAGAAACGCGAAGCCCAGAACTTTCATGAGGCCAGAAAATGATTTTTCTTCTTTGTGGTTTATTGTATCCTCTTATCTTGTCATATAATAGAAATAATGTTTATGGCATTGAGGCCTCAGCATCACTTGGCATTTAACCAACCTCAAAAGCAGTTTATTGCTTTGTATACTCTGCCGCCATGACCATTATCCCTTAAAT